TTAGAGTAATATATTCCTATATATATGTCGCTTGCCCTAGCTCTTTTTTGGTGTGTGTGATTTGTGAGAAGGAGAGAAAAGAAAGTGTCTATGAAAAGAGAAGAAACCGTGCTCGTGCTTTGTGCTCAAAAACTGTGTAGCTGCCTTTGCATTTTGATCGCCCTCATGTGATTTCTTCCATCCGTTTTCTTCTTGCCTTTGTGGCTCCAAATTAACGCCAATTATCTTGTCCATTGTAGGTAATACTGGAAAGCAACCGAGGAGAGTATATTGGTTGTGGGTCGAAGCCGTTTGGATTGATTGTTGGCATGAAAGGTAACGTGAAATTGAACCTGAAAATCATCGAATCAAAGATCTTGGAGCGAGCTTCTGCAACTACTTTTATTCAACTTTTCGATTACAAATTTCATAAACTTTATCAAAAATTGCTTAAACTTCCATCATAAGCCTTGTCAAACAACCCTTTAGATTAGAAAAATTAGCATCCATGTATAGAATAATTATCTTAAAGCATGTGAAGTCCAAGCAGAAGCAGTATACAAGCTAGTGTCCTTCCACCCAAGTCTGAGAGTTCCATCTCCTTGGACAAGGCTATAGCCATAAGCAGGAGGGAACATATTGAGTATTAGTTGTGCTTGAGCCATGGAGTTTGTGCTCATTTGAATTTGTATGAATCCATTTCTTGAAAGTTCACTCCTCCATTGCCTCAACTTATCTTGGCCACTTCGAGCTGGCCCTCCTATCGCCAATACATTGTTAATCTCTCTATACAAAAGGCAATGCTCCACGCAATGACGACTTGAATCATCACTTGGCAAGAAAGCTCCAAGCGAGTCGAAAATGGTAGAATAGTAATGGAGGGAACTTACAAACCGGTCCAAGAACGAGCCCCCGTGTCCTATTTCTTGCTCCACTAATGTAATAACTTTTGGAGATAGACATTGAAGGAGTCTCATTGTCTTCCAATCAGGTCCTGTGGCGTCGTAAAAAGAGTGTTGCAGCCAATGCACGGCTAATGCTTCTCCTTTTCGGATTTGCAACATGGATAAGTCGATGTTCCCAAACTTTGTGGCCACGGGATGGAACTCAAAGTACATCCCAAGGCGCTTGGCGAAATTAGACAGTTGCTTTCCAGTCTCCACCAAGAGCTCCATTGAACTCCCCATTCCTGTCATCCTAACTTGAGGCGGACCCTCAAGGCGAGTTGCTAGTATGTGAAATAGCGCCGGCCATTGCAAACCTTGCATGATGTCGAGATCAATTATATGGACTCTATCCTGTCGATGGAATGCCTCCAAGATTGCTTGATTAGAGGTGAAGTGCGCGAATTTAATGAATGGCGAGATGTTGTTGAAGATCTGGAACGAGCTGTGCACGCTTTTGTAGTCGATCAAAGGGGAGCATACTCCGATCCACGAGTTGATAACTCTGCTAGCCATGGCTTCAGCAAAATAAGCCACAACCCTTTCTGCACAAGAAGGGGCGTAGGGAGACGCCGTTTGAGTCAGCTCCAACAACATTCGTTGAGCTTCACCGAGATTATCAACAGATATAGAAACTGCACACTC